TGACATGTTACGTAATAAGCGGGCTCGCTTTGCCTCCGTTGACAAAGAACTGTGGGCGCGAAACACAGCTACAATCAAGGATATGCATTCCAAATGTTTAGGATTACACTGTAGCAACGTTGGTACGTGACTTAAAATATCTCATTAGGAAATACAATTCGAAATCGGGTGAATATTTAAGGAAATAAAGTAATTTTTACATTCATGGTGTTGAGCCCTTCTTGACAAGCTGCGAATTGTGCAGCTACTCAAAAACCCGAATGAGCATTGCCGTGTTCACGAGAGCCCTCCACTGGTACCTATCCTGAGCCAGATCAATCCAATCCACACCATCCCATCCTATCTCTCTAAGATGCATTTTAATATTGTCCACCAACATATGCCTTGGTCTCTTTCCTTCTGCCTTTCCCACTAATATCCTACACGCATTCCTCGTCTCTCCCATTCGTGCTACATGCCCTGACCACCTCATCCTCCTTGACTTGATCACTGAGTTATATAAAGCACATAATAAAATACTAAATGAGAACATGTGACATGGAGTTCTGTAAAGCTGACAGCGGTTCAGCTGATCGGGAAGTCCCTTCCTTCTTTATGGAGTCTGAAGACTCCTTATCGTGTTCACAACAATCATCCATTTAACCTTAACCTGAGCCAGCTGAATTTGTCCACACTCCATTTGTGTGTACACTCGTCTTAATATTATCCTCGCATATACGTCTATATGTCCCAAGTAGTTTCCTTGTAAAGTTTAACTGAGTCTTTTACTCAGAAAGTTGTTATGACGGATGCTAATGTGTACATCAGTTTATCTACCGAAGCAACCTGCAAAGAAGAAGAAACTTCCCGGTGCTGACTCTGTAGCCTATACCACCTGATCCTCCGTAAGGAGTACATATACCAACGTGAGTCGAACTTGCTTTACTGCCTGTCAGTACTAACTGCTGTCGTGCCCAGAACATCACAGCAGAGGACGGGACTGGAATGCAAATGTGAACATACACGTGTGCGCACGCACACACGCAGCGGACAGGAAGTTCAAAAGTGAACAACAGTAACAACAAAAAAGGTTCCAGTGATGTACACAGGGCCGAGATGACGTCACCACAAGTCTATACCCACGTACAGCAATCCAATTCATGCGCATTTATTAACGAAATGGACAAGTTTCTGCAATTGTACCTGGGGAACAGACAACTGCAGAGTTATATCTTCTAACATGTGTATAACGCCGTGTAGTCTGTTGAAAGTCAAAAGGCGTTTCGGAGGAACGTGTCGCTCGGCTGTGTGTGACAGCCAATGGGAACTGACGGTTCATTTTGCCGTATGGGACAACCAATGGGAAGTGACATACTGGCTTGCATTTCCCTCCTGTTTTCCTGTATCATCCGAAATTTCAGTTCCGCTGGGTTCATTATTCGACCCTGAAGATAGAGGTGATATATTCTTCCGAAAAGTCGCTTGACATTCAACGGACTACACGGCGTTACATTCCACAGGATAGAACTCTTCATAACCACCACCGCCGCGAGATCCACAAATCGTACAAATTCCTACCCTTACGAATCTACCCCAGCATAGCTACTGACAGCGTGATTCTTCAGCACTTTCCCCTGCCATTTGGCGTAACAGTAAATTATCTTCCTTTTAGGAATTAATTGACAATTTATACATCTGGTGACACTCCTTAGAGTATGAACACGCCCACAGCAAGAGCAATACAAACTCCGTGGCCTGTAGTCCGCAAACGAACTATAACAACCGCACGACCGCCGCTTGTCGACGAAGTTAGTGGCAACTTTAGCGGGTAGAGAGTGTCGCGTGGTCAGCGCAACGGATCCCCACGTCCGTTAATCTCGGGTTTCTACACCGGAGCCGCTATTTCCTTGAAACAGATCCTGAATTATGCTCACGAGGCTGGGTGGAGGCCGTTCCAGACCCACCACTTCTCAGAAAATCTGGTAGCGCCAGGAATAGAACCCGGGACCTCTGGATCCGTAGCCAGGAACTCTTGACAACTTGACCACAGAGGCGGTCCCACATCAAGAGGTCTACTATCAAAATTGGCAAAACACAAAAAGCGGGATATAACTCGAGATTCGCTCACACAAACAGTTGTTACCCGTGTCCGTTGATTTATCAATTATATACGTTTAATTACGCAACCGCTCAATTGATGGAGCTGCTTCTATTTGTACTGAAAACGCCAGTACACAGGCTTACACAAACTCCTCAGTCAACAAAAAGAATGCAATATGCCGAACATTGCATTTAAAACAGGAAAGAAAGCCAAAGAATGCAAGCTGTATTTCCTTCAGAGGTGAAACAGCTAATCCAAAAGCAGGAACTGCAGTTGCAGATAAAATGCTTGTATACGCTATGGAATTCTGTTACAGGAAATTAAATGCTAATGTCTGCAGAAGCGGCAATGTGCCGTAAGATAGAAAGAAAGAAATAATAGCCTGGAAACGAGGTTACATATCATCCCAACGCCTTGGCCGACTTTCCAATTCCCGTCCGCTATGAGAAATGGCAAATTATACCGCGGCAAAAATGCGTTTCGGGCAGGAGACATGATGCAAGTGTACGGTATTCATAGCTACTTTCTTATGGCGATGTGCAGGCAGCCAGATGAATTTCAATGTATTCATGTTCCACGGCAGAACAGCCAAAATTCCTTTCCAGGTTCTCCTCTCTTCCGTTACACTATAACCATCAAGGCGCACGTTCGTATGGCAGTGATGAAATGCGATCGTAAATAAGACAGTAACTGCATGACTGCCATTTGGATGAAATTAAACTAATGTAAAAATACCTCTGTTCTTGTCTTCCGTCATATGAATGAAGTACACGCCGGTTTACCTGGCACAGGCCTGCATTAAGATCGTGATGCCCAGTTCAGAAACTTAACGCCAGCTCGTCACAGAGCAATCACTGATTCCCCAGCTATTCTACTGTATATGTAATCACTCTACAAACCGGAAAGTTGCTAGTTCGATTATCGGCGACGTCTATTCCAATTCACCTAATCCTTCCAGCCGCACTGTGGCCCTGGGGTCGACTCGGCCTCTGAGAGAAATGAGTACCAGGAATCTTTCTCGGTGTAAAGGGCGGACGGGGCGTAAGACAGACCTCACCGCCATTTGTGAGCCGATTGTCTAGCAAATGTGGGAGCCTCGACGTCTCATAACCCTATGGTCCTCCAGGGCCTGTTACAGGTACAGCTTTACTTTTACTGAAAGATTCTGAATAATGAATTGCCACAACGCAGAAAAGGTCGTGGTCTGTTTTAAAGTACTATCCCATCACGCATCTGGGGGAAATAAGGACTTATGACTTTGCAGGACTTAGGGAAGTGGTCATGGCCTATCCCAGGCCACTCTCCAAGCATCTGTCCGGAGGAGCTGAGAAAAAAAAACACAAAACACCTCAGTTAGATCTGCAGGCTTCAGGTCTCGTATTCCATACCGTCATCTCAGGGCCGCGCCATAGCTCAAGCGATTAGTCGCTGGCTTCCCACCGCGGTGGCCCAGCTTCGAGCCCGGGTCTGGTCAAGTGGGATTTGTGGTGGACAAAGTGGTGTTGGGGCAGGAATTCTCCGAGTACTTGCCAATCATCATTCCACCAAAAATCTCCATCATCGTAATCACCCGGGGCAAGTACAATAGGCCAATCACTGGCCGACGTACCGAGTGGACCCAGCTGGACTCCACCCCCCACTAAGCGAATTAAAGAACAAAATTAAAATTTTTACCGTCATCTCCCGACAACACTACTGAAATGCTAACCACAGAGCTACGTTCAGCTTCAATAATTCATTATAATAGGCTACCTGCAGAGTTCCTCTACCGATCCAAGCAAATGAGCCTACGTGTGTTAAGTAAGGCCTGTGCTAACAGCTTCTGCCATACAACTGCAGGAACGGAATTGTGATTCGGGNTACGGCATACGTCGTAGACGGACGGAGGTGGCGTGGGGGCGGGTGGGGGGGGGGGGGGAAGAGGCATGCGCAGCGACTGGAATACAGGCCCAGCGGGATTCAAACGGTCGCCAAGCTATGTTTACAGAGGGCGCAAGTGGTCCTATATCTCGCACCTCCATATAACGTGAATGATATGAAGTGCAGTGCCCTTTGTGATGAAAAATGGACAAGATTCGACAATAAACACACCAAAATTTACGTTAAAATCATAGCTAATGATCCCTGCGGTACTGTTTACAGGTTCCTTAAGCGACATCTTTCTAATGATAAAACATCAGGCTAACATAAGCAATCGCCGGTCACGGTAGCAGAGTGGTCTAAGGCATGAACTGTCTTCGCTGGCTCGGAAGCCGAAATCCTGGGTTCGAATCCCACTCAGGGCATGGATGCTTAGTTTATGTGTGTGCGTTTTAATTGTCTTTGTGTACAGGTAGACGAGCTGATCACCCGCCCAAGGAGTCCTACCGAATGTGTAAGAACTAGAAAAACCGAAGTGAACGGATAAGTTCATGGAGGTAGGCCTAGGCCACTGGGGCTGTAGTGCCAAGGAAAAAAAAAACATAATCAAATGACGTCATTCTAATCAAATAGACAGCAGACAATGTCTCATTACACACTAACCGACTCGTGACGTATGCACTTGTTATGACGGGAATGTCAGGCCCAGTGTTTGGGTTAAGTTAATATCTGGTTTCAACTTCAGGTTTCTTTCTGTAACTGGCTATAAGTCACACAAACACCCAGGAGTAGTTCAATCGAATTTAATGCATTAAGAACACAACCACGAATTCAATCCACAAGCTACTACAGGGGCAATTAAGATAATCTAAATTGAATATGTGACGTTTTTGTAACGTGAGGAAACCTGTCCATAGGCCAGCACAAGCAAGCATTCTAGTTGGATCACCTTGACACAAGCGCATGCGTGTAGGCTACATGTACCGTGCGAACCGCCTGGGGTCCTTGGCTTTCTGAATGACTGACATATCAGATTACGTAACAACATGCATTCACTCACCTGTTCTGTGAACTCGGAAAGGTTTCGCAAGCTAATGTTGTACACAATATTCCTGCAACAAAACAGAAATTACATGTTTCAGAAGGCGATACTAAGGAGTGCAAAACGAATGGCATATATCCGAGTTTTTCTCGATATGGTTCGCTAACCAAGTAACCACTCGACCACTTGGTGTCCGCTATACATGATAACACGCCAGCTCGCTACAGCAGACAGGTATGCTATTAGCAGTAGCAAAACATGGTAAATCATTATACAAACAACGACTGACAAGCAAATATTAAAAAAAAAAAAAAAAGGTCATCACAACTGCACTGCTGCAGGTGCATCTGCTAATTCGTCCGCATAAATCTAACTTACGCTCTATCCTTCGTTAATTTCGCCAGTAAATAGGGCTGCAAATCCCAGACACGAGTAAGTCGCTGGCACTAGAAGCCGAAAGTTGNAACGGACGAACGATCCTAACAGCTTGCATCAGGTTAGAGTGCGTCCGTTAAGCACTTAGTAACATTGCCCACCACTGCCAAGATCCTCAGCCAGTTTCATCCTATTCTCGCTTTTATTACGTATTTACCTAAGACTCATTTTAATGCAATCCTCCCATTTCATTCTTGGTCAGCAAATTGCCATTTATGAAGAAATTTCTCCACAAAAATTCTGAACGCACTGTGCCAAACAACAAAATTTCTTGCCCAGTGTGCCGCAGCTCCTCATACTGTGTACCAATATTTAGGTCACCATTACAGAATACGAGACCGCCTTTGTGGTCCAGGGGTCAGAGTTCCTGGCTAGAGAATCAGAGCTCCCGGGTTCAATTCCCGGAACTACCAGATTTTCTGAGAAGTAGTGGAGTCTGGAACGGGGTCCACCCAGCCTCGTGAGGATAACTGAGGAGTTGTTTGAAGGAAATAACGACTCCGGTCTAAAAAAACAGAGATTAACGGCCATGGGGATCCGTTACGCTGACCACGCGACACCCTCTATCCACAAAAGCTGCCACTAACTTGGCCGACAAGCGGCGGCCGCTCGGTCGGTATAGTTAGGTTACGGACTACAGGCCACGTAGTTTGTTTTTGTTTTTACAAAATGAGAAGTTCACTAAACTCTCTAACCCTCGACGAAGCAGCGAAGTCATACGACCTCGGTTGGCGCTTCGCCTCTGATTCGGAACTGGGCTTCACTTTATGGAAATCCGCTTAAAGTGTTTCCCGGCGACGGTCCATAATGAAAAGAAATTAATTTTCTCCTTCCTATTAGTTCTCAGAGTCAAGCTTAAATCTGTCATGACTAATGACATGACAGCGTCCTCCATAACAGGCTGTCTCTCAGCTGTTGATCAAGAAGTACTGTGCCTTGTATACAACCGGAAGTGTCACTGAAGTACTCACATATAAACGTCACTAAACATTAACCTGTGCCAAGTGAAGCCATTCCGCACACCACAACATTAATATCTGTGCATGATTTGAGGTTCTAACACCAGTGGCTATGAACAGTTTTACCTGTGAAGTCCGATCAGAGTCAAACGGATGTTTCGGTTGAATATGTCACCTCCATCTTCAGGGTAGAAGAATAAGCCAACCAAGAAACCAAAACAGAGCAAGCTGCAAGCAAAGTTTCATGACGGAATCTTGCTTGGCTTATTTTTCGAATTTGGCTATCTTCAACGGGCTACATAGCGTTATATTCCAGGAGATAGACCTATATCCTCCCTTCGGGTATTCCGATTCAAATTTTCTGTGCACTTCATGTCTCATTCATACATCGTGTGTACATATCGCTTACCTCATCGTATTACACAGGGATTTACACATGACTGGTAAAGGATATTACATAAACACAATATACAATATATTTATATTCATATTAATATGGTGTATGGTGTTCTATTTTATTATTATTATTACTGGAGGGGGTGGGTTTCCCCATGCACCGCGACTAATAGTCTATTGTACGTCCCCCTTTGATATTCTACCAGTCGCCATACCCTATCGGTATTGGTGCGTGCTATCAGCCCCGTTCAGCCAACGAGGTCGGCCCTCGGTACCTGATACTTCCCCCATCTACCAGAGGCATTGGAAACTATTTGGGCGGGAAAGTTTTGCTCAGAGGTCTCCTAGAGACATGAGGATCTTTTACGTGCCGTAAATCTACGACACGGGACCCCTCCCGGAGGACTTGTTCCCTGAATTTTTCCGCCCTTAAAAATTCCACGACCTCTGCCGGGTTTGAACCCGCGTACCTTGAGTCATGAGGTGGGAACGTTACCCTTAGACTACGGAGGCCGCTTGTATGGTGTTCTATCTAAAATGTCATTAACTACTTGTATACTGCGAATATGATGTTGGGACTACCAGGTTTCACTCGAGGTGATCTTCCCTTGTGATAACATGGCCAAAGTGCGCTGTCTGCTAGCGATTGTAGCGAACACACCACACCAGGATACAGAGTTACAAACACGCCGGCGAAGGACCACCGCAATTTAAATAATATTTTGTAAAAACAAAGGGAGCATTATGGAATCTTCTGGAAGTTAATACGGCTTTTTAAATAGTATACACATTACCCCGGGCCGCTTCAAAATCACTCTCCATCCTGAGAACTTACGTAGTTCATGCAGAACGGGACATTCTTTCTGTTGGGGTGGGGTGAGAGTGAGCCCACTTGGCACGTCGGCCACTAACTGGCCTACTGTACCAGCCCCAGATGATGATGAGTGTGGAGCAGTCGGTGCAATGAGAACTGGCAGGGGAAATCGGAGTACTCGGAGGAAACCTGCCCCAGTGCCACTCCGCCCTCCACAAATCCCACTTAAACTGAACTGGGATCGAACCCGGGTCACCGCAGTGGGAAGGCGGCGACGTGCCGCCTAAGCTATGGTACGGCCTGGGAGTCTTACTCATGTATGAAAGTCACATGAACTCAAGGGTTTGTTGTAATAAACATAATTGTTGAATTCTCTACCCTGAGCTTTTGCGCGCGACAACCCATGACTTTAAGCAGTGATTCTAATCCACTCGACCAGGCCAATTCGTAAAATAACCCTTAAACACACCAGTCCCGGGTACACAACAACTGAGCACTCTAATCATAAAATTAGGAAGCTCTGACACTATGTGTGACTACCTCCATCTTCGCGTATTCTCCTGCAACACCTGCCAACTCCATTTTACACATGTTTAGGAAGCTCTGACACTATGTGTGACTACCTCCATCTTCGCGTATTCTCCTGCAACACATGCCAACTCAATTTTACACATGTTTAGGAAGCTCTGACACTATGTGTGACTACCTCTATCTTCGCGTATTCTCCTCCACCCCCTCCCAATGCCATTTTACACACGTTTACGAAGCTCCGACACTATGTGTGACTACCTCTATCTTCGCGTATTCTCCTCCACCCCCTCCCAATGCCATTTTACACACGTTTACGAAGCTCCGACACTATGTGTGACTACCTCTATCTTCGCGTATTCTCCTCCACCCCCTCCCAATGCCATTTTACACACGTTTACGAAGCTCCGACACTATGTGTGACTACCTCTATCTTCGCGTATTCTCCTCCACCCCCTCCCAATGCCATTTTACACACGTTTACGAAGCTCCGACACTATGTGTGACTACCTCTATCTTCGCGTATTCTCCTCCACCCCCTCCCAATGCCATTTTACACACGTTTACGAAGCTCCGACACTATGTGTGACTACCTCTATCTTCGCGTATTCTCCTCCACCCCCTCCCAATGCCATTTTACACACGTTTACGAAGCTCCGACACTATGTGTGACTACCTCTATCTTCGCGTATTCTCCTCCACCCCCTCCCAATGCCATTTTACACACGTTTACGAAGCTCCGACACTATGTGTGACTACCTCTATCTTCGCGTATTCTCCTCCACCCCCTCCCAATGCCATTTTACACACGTTTACGAAGCTCCGACACTATGTGTGACTACCTCTATCTTCGCGTATTCTCCTCCACCCCCTCCCAATGCCATTTTACACACGTTTACGAAGCTCCGACACTATGTGTGACTACCTCTATCTTCGCGTATTCTCCTCCACCCCCTCCCAATGCCATTTTACACACGTTTACGAAGCTCCGACACTATGTGTGACTACCTCTATCTTCGCGTATTCTCCTCCACCCCCTCCCAATGCCATTTTACACACGTTTACGAAGCTCCGACACTATGTGTGACTACCTCTATCTTCGCGTATTCTCCTCCACCCCCTCCCAATGCCATTTTACACACGTTTACGAAGCTCCGACACTATGTGTGACTACCTCTATCTTCGCGTATTCTCCTCCACCCCCTCCCAATGCCATTTTACACACGTTTACGAAGCTCCGACACTATGTGTGACTACCTCTATCTTCGCGTATTCTCCTCCACCCCCTCCCAATGCCATTTTACACACGTTTACGAAGCTCCGACACTATGTGTGACTACCTCTATCTTCGCGTATTCTCCTCCACCCCCTCCCAATGCCATTTTACACACGTTTACGAAGCTCCGACACTATGTGTGACTACCTCTATCTTCGCGTATTCTCCTCCACCCCCTCCCAATGCCATTTTACACACGTTTACGAAGCTCCGACACTATGTGTGACTACCTCTATCTTCGCGTATTCTCCTCCACCCCCTCCCAATGCCATTTTACACACGTTTACGAAGCTCCGACACTATGTGTGACTACCTCTATCTTCGCGTATTCTCCTCCACCCCCTCCCAATGCCATTTTACACACGTTTACGAAGCTCCGACACTATGTGTGACTACCTCTATCTTCGCGTATTCTCCTCCACCCCCTCCCAATGCCATTTTACACACGTTTACGAAGCTCCGACACTATGTGTGACTACCTCTATCTTCGCGTATTCTCCTCCACCCCCTCCCAATGCCATTTTACACACGTTTACGAAGCTCCGACACTATGTGTGACTACCTCTATCTTCGCGTATTCTCCTCCACCCCCTCCCAATGCCATTTTACACACGTTTACGAAGCTCCGACACTATGTGTGACTACCTCTATCTTCGCGTATT